GGGCATGTTGGTTAGAGATCTACTTGCCTTAAGTCAGTTTTTACTTGCCCTATAAAAATTGTTTAATTTAAGCTGCTATCAATTAACAAAGACTGCAGTTATTTTTATGTTATGTAATCTTTATTCACACTGTATTTATTAATTAAAACAACATATGTCATGTATTGTAGCTTCATTCCTACACAAAAATGACAGTGTCAGGGCTTAAAGTGAAAAATTTGTCAATCATTCTCCGTCTATAATTTTGCACCCTACTTGAGCCATGCCCACCTCTATTTATTTTTCACCCCTCTCTCCAGTTCTGCTGTATTAATACCGGGTTTAATATATTTTGCTTCCATCTCTCTGCCCTGCTCTACTCTACTTCAACGCTACTTAGCTCTCTCTCTACTCTACCAGTAGACTACCACATCCACCTGTTGCACAAAACGCACACAGCAGTGTTTCCCCTAGGATGGAGTTGTAGCAGCGGAGGTAAAGCACACGCATGAAAAATAATTTTCACATGCGTGAAACTTTTTTGTATGCTTGCAAAGCACAGCCTGCTGGGAAGTTTCTATGCATCTACTGGCACCAGAAGGGCTCTTTAGGACTAAGTACATACAGTACATGTGTGCACAGTAATGAGCAGGTGAAATGTCTGTCTAGCTTACATATGAGGTGTCTCAAGATTTAGGAACATACAATTTTATTGAATATAATAAAGTAAAAAGTCACATGACATGCTGCTGTTTTGTGCTGTGACCTATTTAAGTGCTGGAAGTTGTTATTTATGTGACAACACCTGAACGCAACACAAGTTCAGCATGAGTGCCGTGCTGAGCTGCTGTGCGAGCAGCGTGTCTGTCTGTGCTTAACAGCAGTCTGCTGGTTATTTACACACTGTCCATTTCAATAACTTTGTCAGCTGACAAACTGCACCGGGCTCGGGGTCAGGTTTGGTCAGGAAAATGCGGCCCGAGACGCTTTAGCGTGCTAACCTGTGTGTGTGGCGGAACTCCGCCGTGCGCGATACAGAGCAGAGGAGAATTGTTAACGCGTGACCAAGTAGAGACAGAAATGACACGATGGCATAACACCATAAATAGTATATTGTTATGTTATTATATGAAGCGTCTGTCACGCAAAATAATATCAGTGGGGGCTGTGGGCAGGACATTGTTACACAGCTGTGCCTGTGACTTCAGGCAGAGAGACCACTGCATCAGAGCCGAAGGAGCATGTTTTAAAATACATTCATTTTATCAATTAGTTATTAACTTTTACTATTTTTAGCAACTTGCCCAATCGGGCAAGTGAGTTGTTAGTTTACATGCCCGACCATGAGTTTTACTTGCCCCGGGCAATTGGGCAATCCTTATTGTTGAGCCCTGTGATAGGTAATTTGACCCACAAGGTGGTGCTACGTTAGGCTGACCAAACGTCCTCTTTTGCCCGGACATGTCCACTTTTCACGTCCCATCCGGGGCGTCCGGGCGTCTGGGGGGGTTTTATAAACTAATGATAATGTCCAGTTTTCCGTGTGTTTGTGTGTGTGTGTTAGAGTGCGGCACGGGCAGCATATTTCTGTCCGAACCCGAACCGAGCCCAACATTAGTTAATGACCAAAGCACTGAGTTTGTGTCACACAGTTGTAACGGTTACAGGGTATTTAACAGGCCGGGCGTGCGCCGTGGGTGCTCCGCGGAGAGGGAGACCTCTGTGTTTGAGAGGGGAGCGGGAGGCGGGAGGTCCGACGCTTCTAGCGAGAGGAGAGGGAGAAATAAAACAAAATAAGATAAAATAGGAAAAACCTGTCTCCCTCTTTTATTTTATTTTCAGCATTTAATCAAGGCGGAGGCGGGCGGCTGGAGGTCCTCCAGCAAGGAGAGAGGTAGAAACAAACAGCCAATGTGTGTCTGTGTGTGTTCTGTTCAGGTGCTGTCACGTAAATAACAGTGCCCAAGCAATAAACAGGACAGACAATAGGATTTTATTTAATTTTACACTACAGTTTCACCGAAAGCTGACCGATGTTGTTATACCGTGATTTTATTTCCTGAAGAGGTTGTTTGGAAAATTGCAATCTGAAAAGTAACCAAAGCTGCTTAAGAGGTTATTGTGTTTTGAATGTGTTTCAAATTAAAAATAAAGGGAAACAGTGTAGGAATAACTTGTATAACGTTTTTTATTAACAAATAGTAATATAAAACCTTGTTTTCCCTGTTTGAGACCTTAAAAAATAGACTGCGACTTATATGCCAGTGCGACTTATATTCCGAGTTTTACGGTAATTCTTGCTTTATTGGCATCTACCAGTGTAACAACTTGTAATGGAGTATTTACTACTTTTACTTAAGTAAAGGATCTCAGTACTTCTTCCACCACTGGTATGCACTACAGAAATGAGACATAATACCATGATCATCATCATAATATCATAAAAATTTTGGTGTTTTGTTGTTTGCTTAATTCTGACATGCAACAGTCTGTTTTAAATAAGAACATCTTTGTGCTGAGTAAGTTTAATCTGTTGTTTCAACTGTTTTAGTAGGCCTAGGTGGTTAATAGTTTGGTGAGGTGTTTCCTCAGCTCCCAGTGGTTAGTTGTGTGTATTAT